AGCAGAGAGATACAGAGGGTGAGAATAAGAGAGAGAGGAAGTTAGAAAGCCAGCCACCAGATTCAGGACTTGAACCCTGGTTGGCCATGTGGGAGTGTCCAACGTCTTAACCACCACACCACCTGCTGGTCCCCGAGTATATTGTCTTTATTTTTTCATCTTTATTTCTTTCAGATTAGCCAAACTCATGGATACCCATTAAAAACTTGAATACTTTCTATTAATAATCTGCAAAGCAAAAACTCAGCCGCCAGAAAATGAAGGGGAGGAGAGACTCTTAATTCCTGATCTATTAGTTACAAATACTGTATGGTTCAACATTAGGGAAAGTGAGGGGTACTATAGAAGTTTGTTTCCAGTACACTTTTAGAAACAGTGGAACCTACTTCACAGCAGATTGGAAGTCCACTAGATGGCATAGTTTAGTAATACTCATTTTAATACTAACTGTGGCTCTGAGGAAATCCTTTTAATTTATGTCTCCAGTTCATTCAGAATTCCAATAGGGATGGGGGAGTTTACTCCCAAAGAAAGCTGCATCTTTTCAAAGTTCAGAAAGACTTTGAAATAAAAATACAGTGGCTTGTATTGAAGCTGTTCTGGTCCAGTGAGAGTCAAGAGGGGTTATTTTATAGAGATTAGGCCTGGGAAAAAAGTTAATAAGTGCATTGTGATTTGAGAATGAGAACAGAGTTGGGGAGAATAATGGGACTAGAATGATATGTGCTAAGGTAATGGTTGTCAGTTTTGCCTTTTTACTGGCTCAGTAATGCTTGAGGCTGTCACTGTAGATGTATATGGTACAGGAAAGGAGGAAGTCAAAGAAGAGCCAAGAAATGAGAGAGAAAGGAAGGAGAGTGGGGCTAGTAGGTGGCAGTGGTGGTTAGGGATACTTTCTCTCTCTCTCTCTCTCTCTCACACACACACGCTGTCTCTCTCTGGTCAAATTAAAAATAAAGTTAAATAATTTTTTTTTTTAAAAAGGAAGGGGAACATTGGGTTGCAAATCATTTTCTTTACAAGTAGAGGGAGAAAAGTTGGTTTAGCACATAAAATAGGGAAGCCAACTGTGAAAATATCCTCTGTCATAATCTTTATAACTTTATTACTTCCATTCTTTAACAGGAGATATTGGACTGAGTTTTTATCTGTATGTAATTGTGTACTATAAGACTTAATTTGTGATTTTTTTTCCAACAGTCTTTGTTTTTGTTATTCCAGGTAAATGTATTTTAGGGACCTCAATTGTATCTTTTATCAAGGCTCTTTGCTTTCATTTATTATAAATAGTATCTCAGTTTTGTGTTGGTGGAATGGGGCTTCCTAATGGTTTTTGTGTGTCAGCAGGTCTTGCATTTCTGGTTTCCCTTTGTTGGCATAATTTGCTTCCTAGTATAGGTTGTATATCCCTTATCTGACGTACTTGGGACCAGAAGTATTCCTGATTTGGGGTTTTTTTTTTTGGATTCAGATACATGAGATATCTTGAGTAGGGTATGGGACCTAAGTCTGATCACAAAATTCACTTGTGTTTCATGTGCATCCTATACACATAGCCTGAAGGTAATTTTACACAGTACTTTTGTATTGCCACAGTTTGAGTCACTTGTCACATGAAGTCAGGTGTGGAATTTTTTGCTTGTGGCATCATGTTGGCACTTAGAAAGTTTTAGATTTTGGAGCACTTTGGATTTCAGATTTTTGGATTAGGGATGCTCAGTCTATATCCTTATTTTCCCTGCTTTTTAATCTCTGGGTTCTTTGTAAATAAGATTAGTATAAATTTTGAAAGGTTTTTATTAGTTTGAGAGAAATAGAATCTTGTAACCTTGGAAAGTATGTTGAAAGATTCCTTACCTTTAGGAACAAGATAATTTAATCTGCTAAAAAAAGGAAAGTTAGTTGTTTCAGAAGACTTTCACTAAAATAATTTCCACATTTTTTACGTCTCCTTTATGGATTTTTTTTCTTATATGTCACCTAAAATCTGCTTGATATAACAGATATTTAAAATGATCACCATTGAAAAGCACTTACCAGGCTGGTAGGTGGTGCAGGGGGTTAAGGATGCTGGACTCCCACATGGCTGATTGTGGTTCGAGTCCTGGAACTGGCGGTTTGCTTTCTTTCTTTCTCTCTCTATCTCTCTCTCTGTCCCTCTCTGGTCAAATTAAATAAATAAAGTTAAATAAAATAATTATTTAAAAAAGAAAAAAGCACTTACTATCCTCTTATTCATACATAGTCTCCTAAAATACTAAATCTTATTATTTAACCGTGGTCTAACATATTTCAGGTCTGGGATACTTAGAACAAAAACGTTGAGGAAACAGAAGTAAGAATGAGTGAATGTGAGAGTCATGGAGGGTGTTGAGTAACTGAGTTGTACATGTTTCACGTTGAGCCTACTATGGGCATTGTTAAGACCATCATTTTTCTCATCATTTCTGTTTCTTCATATTTTGTCTTTAAATTGAGAGTAGCTGGTGTCTGTCCTCCATGTTTGACTGTTTTATTGTCACTTTGCATCTTCTTTTAGAGGCTACAAATAATTCCTTTCGTCTTTCTTCAGGGGTTTTATTTTTCATGCTATTAATCATCTTTGAGTCTCTTCTGAATCCCTTCCAAGTTTTATTTTTCAAATGTTCCTCTTCAGTTTAGAAGTACAAAAGTGGATACAGTGCCCCAAAAGTATCTGGCCACTTTTGAGTATCCTTGGAGGAAGATTTCATAGTTGTGCGAGTACCAGGGTCCACTTCATATAACCTTAGATTATATTTGCCCTTGAAAAATGTAGTCACATGTTGCTGACTGCCTGTCAGATTTTTATATCCTACGACCTTGATCTTTTCCTCTTATGTTTATTTATAGCTTATCATTCATCATCTTTTATTTATGGAGTTTATTTTTCTTGGCTGGATATATTGCTTTGTACTTTCCTCATTGAAATTCATTGCCTTTTTTTCTGGTTACTTCACTACTTACACAATGTCATTTCCATTCCAGTCTTCCAGTATGGCCAACTCATAAGCTTCATATTGTTTATGCTATTCTAGTCAGTAAGGCACATGTTAAAAAGTAAGAAGGTAGAAAAGTATCTCACAAACCATGACATAATATCATTTATTGAGGTTTCTCAAAATTTACTCTGATGAGTGGCCAGGCAGAGTGGTAGAGGGTTGTCTGTGTTCCCCTCCTGTGTTTTTACACTCAGATGATCTGCCCCCTCACCATCAGAGTTTGGTGCCTGCATCTCCATACAGCTGTGCCAAGAAACAAAGAAAGCAATTCATCTTGTACACTGCTGTCAGATTTAATCTCAGTCACTGCTTTATGTAGATCTCTCCTTGTTCCTAACTTTCTGTGGTTCCCCTTCACCTGCTGAATTAGATATAAACTTTCTAGTCTAGTATTCGAAGCACAATTTGGCTTGAGCCTCCGTTTCCAGTCTGATGGCCTGTAGCTATATTATGTTTCATACACAGTTAACCAGTAGCCCTTCCCTGGATGGCTTTCTCACTCTCTGAGGCCTTGGTTTGTTTACATTGTTTGCTGTACTTATAGAACCCTGAAGCCTTTCCATTTGATTGTTTCCTATTGACACCATTTAAGGCCAATTTTTTCTTATCCTTTCTTTGTGGCTTTCTTTCTTTCTTTCTTTTTTTTTTTTTGAGAGAGAGGTTTTCGCTATAGGGCGCATGCGCTCGCCAGACAGACAGAGACATAGAGACAGAAAGCAATAAATCACCCCCCAGGGGGGATGGTCACGCCGCAATCCCTTCTCCTCCATTCTCCTCTCGGGATCTTGGGCACCCACGCAAACATGCCCAGCATGAGTTTTAAGCCACCGGGTCTGGGACGCGAACCGCGGTCGACTGCGTGGGAGTCCAACGACATAGCCATTACGCTAACTGCTGGTTCCCTTTCTTTGTGGCTTTTTCTAGTTAGATATCTTTCTCTTCTTTCTACTAACCTTTATATGGTTTTTGGTACTTACTGCATTTTGTTCCATGTTATAGCTAGCTGTTTGTGTGCTTCTCTCTCTTTTATTTGGTATAGGTTTTTGCCATAGGATGTGTGCATTCACCAGAGATAGAGACAGGAAGGAAAAGTGAGAAGTCACCCTGTAGGGGAGATGGCCATGCTTGCAATCCTTTCTCCTTCTGGGATTTTAGGCATGCATACATATGTGCCTGGTGTGATTTTCAAGCTGCCAGTTTGAAAATTGTGGTTGGCCATGTGGGTGTCCAGTGCTTTAACCACCAAGCTACCTGCTGGTCCCGTATTTGTGTGCTTCTCATATCCTTCCTGGAAGACTAGACTTATTTATTTATTTATTTATTTATTTATTTTTGGAGAGGTTTTTGCTATAGGGCACGTGCGCTCTCCAGAAAGAGACAGAGAGACAGAAAGTGAGAAATCACCCCTAGCGGGGATGGCCATGCCACAATCCCTTCTCCTCCATTCTCCTCTCAGGATCTTGGGCACGCACGCACACACGCCTGGTGTAAGTTTAAGCCACCAGGTTCAGGACGCGAATCACGTTCGACTATGTGGGAGTCCAGCGACATAGCCATTACGCTAGCTGCTGGTTCCCTGGAAGACTAGACTTTTTGAGAACCATCTTTCTCATCTTGGTAGCTTTAAGTGTACCTACCATGTATTTATATAATAATTGAATAGATTGAAGTTTTAAAAAAAAATTTATGAGTACATGCCAAATGGATGAATTAGATCAATTTGAGCACATTATATGATACATTCTGTTTGAATTCTAATGTAAACTATTTAATTGCAGGCCAGACTGGCAATTAGTTTACACTTTGAGTAGCATTGTTAACAGTCTACTTTTTTCCTCTATTGAAAAAAATCCTAGAAGCAATGAAAGCTTTATGGTGTTTTATGTATTAGTTGTTAAAAGTTGCTACATGTAACAGTTGTTTGATTACTTAAAATTGTACAGTAAAAGCCCTTTTATAATTATTTTCATTATTTTCTAGGAACTATCCAACTCTGGCCAATATTGAAAGGAAGAAAAAGTTAAAACTTGAAAAGGAAAAGAGAGGAGCAGTATTGACAACAACACAGTATGGGTAAGTGCTTTAAAATTACTTTCTCTCTCTCTCTTTATATATATATAAACACACACACACACACACACACACACATATGAAGAGATTTTTGCTATAGGACTTATGTGCTTGCCAGAGAGACAGAAAGCAAAGCAAGAAATCACCCCCTGGTGGGGATGACCACATCACAATCCCTTTTCCTCTATTCTCCTCTTGGGACTTTGGGCTTGCATATGCCCCACATGAATTTTAAGCTACTGGGTCCAGGACTTGAACCATGGTCAGACATGTAGAGTCCAGTGACGTAACCATTAAGTCATGTGCTGGCCTCTCTCAATTATACTTAAGTATAATTAAGTATACTTATAAATAATAGAAAAGAGCATTACCAGAATGTTAAAATCCGTACTTTTCCAATTCTGAAACCTACCTTTTTTGTGACTTTTTTAGAAAGTTTTAATTATATCTTAGAATGTTACCCTATAGTCAAGTGGTTTTCATTATATATAAATATATAATGGTTCAGCTATGGTGGCACAAGCAGTAGGGTGCCAGCGTGCAAGACTAGGCATGGTAGTCTAGAACCAAAGTCCGACCATGTAGCACATGCTGCTGGTTCTGGCTAACTGGGAGGCTGGGACAGAGGCTTGCAGGGGTGAGACCCTGTAGGGAGTGCCTGTTTCTCTGTTCTCCTCCTGTGCTTGCTCGTGCGCATGTGTTCTTGCTCTCTCAGATAAAAAGTTTTATAAAAATGTAATGAACAAGTCTTCACACTCTGTCTCCGAGTAAAATGGTCTCCTTAGGAGCAACCCATTTTATTCTTCCAGAGATAGTCAGTGTCTATATGGCACGTAGATGAATAAATAGAGCTTTTTTCTTTCTCAACTCTATTCTGTACCTTGTTTTTTATTTATTTATTTTTTTTAGCCAAATGATATAGTTAGAGATTGTTCTATAACACACCCCATGGGTGGTGATTTCTCACTTTCTCTTTGTCTCTGGAGAGCACACATGCCCTGTAGTAAATTTAAAAAAAAAAAAAAAATTGTGATAGAGTCAAAAATACTAAATTCTTGGGAACCAGCAGTTAGCGTAATGGCTATGTCGCTGGACTCCCACGTAGTCGACCACGGTTCGCGTCCCAGACCCAGTGGCTTAAAACTCACACCGGGCGTGTGTGCATGCATGCCCAAGATCCTGAGAGGAGAATGGAGGAGAAGGGATTGTGGTGTGACCATCCTCCCTGGGGGGTGATTTCTCGCTTTCTGTCTCTCT